ACCAGATAGCACTTGACCAGCATGTTGATCCTTAGTACTCAGTACATATAACCTTGACAACATTCAGCATTTCATAACAAAAGTCTCCCCTATTTCACACCTAAATTACATGTCTAATTTGTCTACTAATGGCTACATTTCAAGATGATTAATTCATTCATCTGAAGCATATCACTAATTACTCTCCTCAACAGGCTTCTTTTAGACTGCTTTGCCTCCAAAAAGTTCTTTACTGTAATTTTTATGTAATGCAGAAAAGCTAGGCATCAAGCTGGTGTTTGTATATACAATTAGAGCAATAAAAAAACTTTAAACACCATAAAGTCCATATATACCAAATTAGACTCGTTTTTACACAAGTGACTCAAACATGACAATTTTAGTCTATAAACAGATATTGCAATCCAGTTAAAAATAATCATATGTAATTGCCTTTAGACTTGCATGTATATGTGATAGATTTTCATTTTACAAAGATTATGATTTATAATGACAGATAACGCATTAAACATTAAACCACAACCTAACAGAACATGTATATATGATAGCTTTAACTTTCTTGTCAAAGAGTTAATGGAGATTCAACCCAAAAAAGTTATTAAGAAAGTTAAGGCACTTAATAAATACTTAGCTGTTGATGGAGTTGTTTTACTCATTTTCTGATCATTCGATTCCCTACTCTCTGCCGCAGGGATGATAGTTCGCAGCTCTTCCATGGGAGCCGCAAATGTTCTGGCGATTCCTTCGTCAATGGCGCCATCGCCGGTGATCCGACCGTCGGATCAGGGAGTGGGTGATGGCCCTGGGCTCGCCTCATCGTCGCGATCACCTTCCGCTTGTCTGATCGTTGATCAACCGGCTGGATTGCGAGAAGTCTCCACCGCGGCAGGCCTCAGGATTTCCGATCGGTGATGGCTGCGAAGATCGATTGGCGCGACGGCTGAGGCGACTGGATCGGAAACGGACAAAGAAGCACACAATTCGCTCCAATTCCTTGTGCTTATCTTATGGGTTTGCTTACGTTTGTTTTTTCTCTTCCGACGGTGTTTTTTTTTTATTTTTTTTTTATTTTTTTTTTAACGCAGCAGTTGCCGGATTCAGTATAGGCTGTTCACCGGGAATGTAGAGCGAAGTGAAGAAAAATCCTAATTCACGCAAACCACTCTTAGTAGAACACTCGTGCTGATAACGTGTTAAACAGTAGAACACTCGTGCTGATAACGTGTTAAACAGAAAAAGACAGAGAGGAGAGAGGGAAAGGTCAGGATTATCTTATTCCTTCTTCTTCGTCATAGTACAATGATCTATATATACAAGATACAATGAAGAGATATAATAATAGAGAATAATTACATCCGTTACAGACGTTACAAAGTTATTATTAATGTCCACCATAAATCTTATTTACAACAATTTTGATATAATGTTCATGAACTTATTCAATATACCTCCTCTTTAATAGTTTAATTTAAACTTTCTACATTATCTATCTATTATAATAAGAGCCAATAATGTATTGTTAGGCCCTTAACTGGAATAAAAAAGTGTCGGTACTACTTATTTCTTAAAATGAATGGTTCATAGTATTTTGATTTTAGTATTTTTAATGATTTTTCTTATTTACCCTTTATTATATTATTTTCTTTCCTTAAATAACCTTAAATTCCGTTAGTATAAACTTTATTAACGGAATATTCCGTTAACTATTTATTATTCTTAACTTACTCATTAATTTCTATAAGAAAGGTCTTAGGTTCGAACATCATTCCAATTAGAGTTAGCATAATTGTTAAACATATACTACGAATATGTTAAAATGTATTAAAAAATAAAATATAAAATTTAATATAAACTTTGGTCAAATAATTAGCCCGACTAAATACATAGTATTCAATGATTATAAATCAGGAACTTTGATAATCATTTGATTTTCTTTCATTAAAAAATAATAAATTTAAGTTTCATTTTTTTTTCATTTAATTAATCTTCTTTTGATTATTGAGAACAAAACTTAATATTTCAATTATGCTTTTATCAATGCAGGAAAACTTCTAAAGAAATTTGTAAGTTAATTTTTACTATATTATTATAACAATATCTATTGTAACCTTATATTTTGAATTATTTATTATCATAATCTATTGACAGCAATTGTCATTAACAAACTCTCAAAACAATTTGTCTCAACAATGAATGGAATTTTTTTTTTAAAAAAAATCAATGATTTCATTATTGTGAATGAAAAGTATGTACGCTACTTTATTCAATCATTATGCCGTGGAACTGTGTCCACCTTGCAATGTGGACATAGTTCTATGTTCATAATTACTGAACTATATGTTCATAATTATAAAGCTATATATTCATAATTTTTTAATTTCATATTCATAATTATTGAACTCTATATTCACAATTACAGAACTCTATGTTCATAATTATTGAACTATATGTTCATAATTATATAGCTATATATTCATAATTTTTTAATTTCATATTCACAATTATTGAATCTCTATATTCATAATTACAGAACTATATGTTCATAATTATGTTCACAACTTTATGTTCATAATTTTTAAACTATATATTCATAATTATGAACAATTTTGGAATCGTGTCCACCTTTGTCCACATCATAATTTTCTCACTTTATTGCTCTTATTACTTAAATTAAAAAATAAATTAGTAACTACAACAAAAAATAATATATATGTATTTAATTAATTTAGAATTAGATGTCTCACAACACATGAAACATGTAGGGAAAACTACCACTACCAAATATCAACATGTGCTTGTAAGATAAAGAGTTCATAGCACAACTAAGATCTCAGTCATATACACAACAAGACAAATCTAAAACTTCATACACCATAATCTCATTGCATGATGAATCCCTCTATGATACTACCAATAAACCAATTGCACATGACACAGTGACACACTACCAATAACAAAACAAAAAAAGAAAAAAAAAAACATGTACTGAAAATTAAAACAATAACAATGCTACCTAAAAGAGAATTAGAAACATTTAAACCAAAAATAGTATTTATTTAGACTATCACTTTTAGACTTAGTACTTAGATTAACGTTATTACAAAGTTGAAAACATTTATTAATCAATCTCTCATATATTATCTTGCATTTATATACTTTAAATTATCGATTTAAATAAACAAATTCAACATTTATTTACCTATGCATGAACATCTTCTATATAATATTGCGCTGATATACTTTGAAATACTTATTTAAAAGTAAGTATTGAGCATTATCCTATTCGCGCAAAGTGCGAAGAAAAACTAGTTTAATATATAAGTACAAATATAATATGTGTGGTATTAACTATAAAATATAAAATATTCAATAAAGAAAAATACAATTCACTATTTCACTTAAAAAGTAATGATGTTTTTCACACATTTAGATATTTAACTATTCGCCAAAGCTTCGATATGTAATACTTGAATTTTTCGGCCACGTGGGTTACACAATGTATTGTGCGCCTTGACCTAAAACGATATCATTTTTATAAATTGGTGAGGAGTTGATGCAATGGTGCGACGGACACTATTCCGTCCGTCCAATCTCGTTACTTTTTTTTTTTATGTGTATTATGTTAGGTTTATGTGTATTCTACTTTACAATTCTGTACATACGAAACAGAGAAATTTTTTAAGGCGCACAATGCATTATGCACCCTGATGCACGATACAACAATTGGTAATCAAGGCCATTGCATAGCGCAAATTATGCTGTGGACTCGTGTCCACAATGCATTGTGGACACGAGTCCAAAACGACATCGTTTTCAGGGAAAACGTGACATTCCAGTTAAAAAAAATTTGATTTTGTCTCGTCGTTAACGACGTTATTCGTTTGTGGCATTATGAATGTACGGTTATGGAATTATGAATGTAAGTTATTGAATTATGAACACAAAGCTCTGACATTATGAACATAGAGCTCTAAATTTGTGAACATAGAGTTTCGAAAATTATGAATTTACAGTTATTGAATTATGAATGTACAGTTACGGAATTATGAATATATAGTTATGCAATTATGAATGTATAGTTATGGAATTATGAACATAGAGCTCTGACATTATGAACATATAGTATCAAAATTATGAACATATGCTCCTATAACAAAGCGGTCTGAAATTTTTTAAAAAAATGGTGGAAGATAACTATGCCACTAACGGCACCGTTACCGTGTCCACAATGCATGCTGGACACGGGTCCATAGCATAACGATTGATTGCATAGGGCAGCCCATTTAACACACACATGACACACCCTTAATCTTCTGTTAGCAAATGTGTGAACGTGATATTAAATTGAAGGGTAAACTAAGGGTGTGTTTGGTTTGCACATGTGAATCAGAATCGGAATGAGTATCAAATACTTGGTAATGCTAATGAATTTTGGTGAAAGTATTTAACATGTTTGGTACTAGGGTAGAATGTGAATGATTACTAATAGTAGTGTTTGAGAATGAATAAGAGAATGAAATCTTTATTTTATTTGGGTATAGATTTTTCAATTGATGGGGTATTCGAAATCCATAGTAGTGTTCTAAAAACCTATCAACCAAACAATAACAATCACTTTCATACACATTCTTATGAGCAAAACCTATCAACCAAACACACCCTAAGTGTACCCAACTGTTAATACCACTTTCATGTCTTTACTAACGGAAAACCACATATGGGTGGTGTGGTCATGTTTTTATATTTTAGGAGGATATTTGCTGGTCACTTTTTGATACTAAAAGAACGTTTATTCGGAGAAAGTTTGATAATAATAGCACAATACTTCTTCTAAGAGGGAATCTGCCCATTTTAGATATAATTCCTACATTGCCGCCGTCGATGTTCGAACCTTGGCCTCTTCTCTCCAATACTGCCCACTAAACCATTGAGCTAAACTCGTGCGAGTATAATAGCACAATACTCGATGGACAATTGGAGGTATTAACTCATTTGTAAAAAGTAAAAATTAATAATTTGTGTTAGACTGACAAGTGAGAAATGGAAGAAGGAAAGAGAAAAGGCAAGGCCGTGGTGGTAGGGGGAAGCATAGCAGGGATATCCTGCGCGCACGCGCTCATCGGAGCTGGCTGGGAAGTGGTGGTGCTGGAGAAAACCTCCGCGCTGCCAACCGGCAGTCCCACCGGCGCCGGACTCGGACTCGACCCTTTGGCCCGGAAACTCATCGAGTCTTGGCTCCCTCAGCCCGACCTTCTTCATCAGTCCACCCTGCCACTCACAATCCACGAAGTAAGCTTAAAACTATCATCTTTTTGCTTTTGTTGCTCTTGTAAAATTTTTTTAAAGTAACTTTTGGTAGATTCTGTGAATTTATGTATATTCTTTCAAATAAAATCATTTACTGATTTTAGTTTTTACCTCTGTAATTGATGGTAATTAAGCTAAGATTATGTGTTTGGGCAAATGGTGAAAATGATGGATTATCCAGAATCTTGAACCAATCAGTATAGAGTTGGCCAAAGCCATTTGTCCTGTATGGTATTCATCATTATAAAGAAAATTTTAACTTTCTTGTAAAGGTTTCAATTTGGATGACTTTATTCTTCAGGATATTAGATGTTAACAAAAACCCAGAAAATATCCCAGGATCAAGAAACACGCTTAGGACTTTTATCAAACAGTTTATGGGCACATAGAAAGAAGAGATGGAGGCCAATGACCATGTAGGAGGTACAGAAAAATAGGACAACACATGACGACCATATATCCTAAGTAAAGTTCATAACATATTATAATGCTCTGAATTGAGCCCTCTTGAAATTGATTGTTTTGACAATTGACAGCACAAGGCAACAGATGCAGAAAAGAAAATCAGCTGGAAATTAACAAGGGATGAAGATTTCAACTTTAGAGCAGCTTATTGGGCTGATCTCTATACCCTTCTGTATAATGCTCTGCCCCAAAGTATTGTATTCTGGGCTCATTCATTTCTTTCCTTTTCTTTATCTGATGACAAATCTCGTGTCACTGTCAAAACGAAGGTCCTTACTACTGGGGACACGATCTCCATTGTTGGCGATTTGCTTGTTGCTGCTGACGGCTGTTTATCTTCAATCAGGCAAAGTTTCCTTCCTGACTTCAAACTAAGGTTCGTGTATGAATCAGGTGATGATGAACTTTCTTTCGTAAACTCTGAATTCAAGCAATATGAAGCCTTGTGTTTGAAATGTAGTTTCCTGTTAGGTATTCGGGTAATTGTGCATGGAGAGGGGTTCTTGATTTTTCAAATAATGAGAATTCAGAAGCCATAATTGGCATAAAGGCAGCATATCCAGATCTTGGTAGGTGCCTTTACTTTCACCTGGGATCAAGAACTCATAGTGCGCTTTATGAGCTATTGAACAAAAGGATAAACTGGATTTGGTACATTAATCATCCTGAACCAGAACTTAAGGTAATTTTCACCTCATAAACTTTAGCACTATTAATATTACACGGGAAAAAGGAAACAACCATTATCTACGGTGAAGTTAGGATAGCTTGGTTTGGATCTAACTCCAAATATCTAAACACAGTCTATGTATCTTTTCTCAACCTAAATCCTCAAAAATCATACATTTGTTATGAATTAAAAATCGGTACACTTGTTTTGGTTCTTCTCATTAGGCGGGATTGTTATGAATCTTTTGGTAACTTTAATGCTCTATCTTCTTGAATCTTGCTGCTCTCTGATGATTGTATATGCAGGGAACTTCAGTTACTATGAAAGTAAGCAATGAAATGGTCAAGAAAATGCACGAATTAGCAGAGAAGGTTTGGCCTCGTGAGTTCGCGAGGTTGATAAGAGAAACAAAGGATCCATTTATAAACGTAATATACGATGCTGATCCCTTGGAGAAACTTTGTTGGGATAATGTGGTGTTGGTTGGGGATGCAGCTCATCCCACGACTCCCCACGGGCTGAGAAGTACAAACATGTCAGTTTTGGATGCTGCGGTTTTAGGTAAATGCCTCGAGAAGTGGGGATTGGAGAATCTAACTTCTGCGCTCGAAGAGTATCAGTGTGTTCGGTTGCCAGTTGCATCAGAGCAAGTTCTACATTCAAGACGACTAGGCCGCATCAAACAAGGTTTGCCCTTACCTGATCGCCATGCTTTTGATCCAAAAAATGCTACTGCAGATGAATGTGAAGAGCTTCAGCTGAAGAAAATTCCTTATTTTAGTGATGCACCTTCACTATTGTCGATATGAGGTAGCCTCGAACATTATTTTTGTATATTTAATGTACATTATTTGATAGTATGGTTCATACAGCTGTGTGGACAATCGTTATATCCTACACCACGGCGCACATAGCACTGTGCGCCGCGCGCCTCCCAAAACGACGTCGTTTTGGGGTAGTGTTGGGAGGCGCGGTAGGAAGTTGCTGAGATTATGTGTATTTGTTCACAATGTTATGTGTATTTGTTCACAACGTTATGTGTATTGGTTCATACAGTTATGTGTATTTTTTATACAATTATGTACATTCTTTTTATACAATTATGTACATCCGAATCAGAAAATTTGTGTGTATTATGTTAAGAGTTGATGTGTATTATGTTAAAAGTTTATGTTTATTATGTATTATGTTAGATTATGTGTATTATCTTTTAAAAAGAGTATGTATATTTTGTTATATAATTATGTACATTCATGTATAACATTATGTGTATTCTAGTATAACATTATGTACATTCTTGAACAGCGGGTTTTTTTTTTAAAGAAAAAACTACTGCCATTCACTGGGACGGGAAATTTCAAAAAAAATAATAATTAAAACGACATCGTTTTGCATCTGGGCGCATAGTGCAACGTGCGCCGTGGTGTAGGATATAAATTGCCCTGTGTGGATCATTGTCCACACAATAATGATTGGTTTTTTGGATCGTTCTGCTGTGCATCCGTATTCACCATGCATGGTGCATACGGATGCAAAAATGACGTCTTTTTATTAAAAACGCGCATCCCACTTAAAAAAAAAAATTCAGTTTCGATTCTGGAATTTTAGTTCATAGATTCTGGAATTTTAGTTCATTGATTATGGATATTTAGACGTGAATCGAAACTGATTTTTTTTTCATTCATGCTGGATATTTAGTTCATTCATTATGGATATTTAGTTCATTCATTATGGATTTTTAGTTCATTCATTATGGAATTTTAGTTCATAGATTCTGGAGTTTTAGTTCATAGATTCTGGAATTTTAGTTCATCGATTCTGGAATTTTAGTTCATTGATTTTGGAAATATAGTTCAAATTATGCACAATATAATGTTGTTGGTGGGAATCGAAACTGATTTTTTTTTTTTTTTTTTTTTTTAAGTGAGACACGCGTTTTTAATAAAACGATGTCGTTTTTGCATCTGTATGCACCATGCATGGTGCATATAGATGCACAACATAATTTGCCTGGTTTTTTAGCATAACATATTGGGCCTACTCCTTAGATTATTGAACTAATTGAATTGCATTATAACCTTATTAAGTTCTTGACATAAATAAACAATCAATATTTACCAATAATAATCTAATTCGAGTCTCATCCCAATTAAATATGTTGACATTATTACGTTGAACAGATACTAAAGTTAGGGTTAAATTGTAGTCACAAAAAAAAAAAAAATCTAATTCAAGTATGTATAGTTTTTAATTTGTATAAAATATACTATTTCTATAAAGTGTGGTTAATTTATCGTATTAAAAGTTTAGAAAGTGATTATTATTATGTTACAAATTGATCAATTAGTTTTTTTTTTTTTTTTTTTTTTTTTTTTTTGGTGACAAAACAAAGACTTAATTTTCATTATCGGCATGCAAAACATCCAAAATAAACAATGGCGGAATAGAAAGCCAATAGCAATCCGCCTCTCTAGCTAGCAATCAAATGGGCAGCACTGTTCGCTGATCGCTTAACGGAATAGAAACACAGCTCATCAATAGAGGCTGCGACATCGTTAATATCATCTATAATCAAATCAAAACCCGAATCTCTAGCAGTACTTCCCCTGCAAAGCATAAAAAACCTCCTGGGCATCCATCTCCACATCCACGCTTGCCATCTCCATCTCCTTCAGCCAACTCAACGCCTTCCGGACACCCATCGCCTCCGCCTCTCTAGCCGATCCCGTATTAAAAGTTTAAAAAGTGATTATTATTGTGTTACATATTGATCAATTAGTTAATTGTTCTAAAAATAATAGTCATTCGATAATGGTCATGAAATTATATACATGCCAAAATATATAATACAAGATGTGCCACCTTTTATATGTTGTCCAATAGTAGCTCTTTAAAATGGAATTGCTCTCCAAGTGTTGATCATATATGCAAAATTGCCAACTCGTTAATGCTTAATGACACGTTCGACATCTCCACTAGATTGGTGGGGAGAAGTAGCAAAGTGATTGCCCAACTTATAGAGTGCACTTAAACTAACAACACTATATTTGATAACACAGGTTCTCAGTTTTGCCAGATTATATCCTGAACCAATGAACCCGCTCCCAAGTTCATGAGGAAGTAAATAGAATCTGATCGTTACTCAACTTAATTAATCTCATTTTTAGAAATGTAATACAATTGCAGTGTTAAAAACAAAATAAATCTAAAATAGTTGTAAGCTGTTGGGAGAACTACCCCCAAATGAGGTCTAATCGAAACTTGACATTGGAAAATGTAGACACTAGTGAAATATAAAGTAGCTAGTTTAATTAAATAATAAACTTAATTCCCCAAACATATATCACCAATGCATTTAAATTTCACCATGTTTTGTGCAAATATCACTTAAACCAAGGTTCCCATAGTGCAATATGGGGATAAATGTGACAACCCCAACTAAGTTAGTCAGGTTATTGGTTTGGTAACTTCAAAGTTAAGTTTGATTCCAGTAAAAGTGACTTATTTGACCTTTTTGATTTAAATCGATCGAGCAACCTTGATTAGTTTACTTCTTTGTGACTTTTTACTATTAAGATCACAAGACAGAGTTTATTTAGTTTACACTTTTAGTAGTGGCTACAAGTTTCAATTTTCTCGTCATTTAAAAAAAGGAGAATGAACAAAAATAATATATGTTGGTAGTGCAGCAAGCATTATGTTATGGTGCATTAAGGCCACGATGTATGTTGTGCATATGAGAAGATAACAATTTTTGCCGTCTCATCTGTTGCTTTGCCCAAATCCTACAACTTTTAGTGCTAAGGTAATCATATCTTTAATTACCACATTCAAGTCGTAAGCTATAAGCCATTATAACATTACCATTTTACTCGAATTGATTGGAGAAGCATTTTCTCCTTGTCTGTCTTTTTATATGTATGTATACATACACAACACACACCATAGTAACATATATAGTATATAATGAATTTGTAAGACTTTTAAAAAGTTATAGATGGTGGACTATAAAATTAAATTGTAAATGGAGAATCCTAGTCAAGTTGGTCAGACAGATATACGTTAGCTTGGTATTTATAATAATGTTGTTTCAAGTTCAACTCTCTTTGGGAGCTTTGTATTAGTTTTTTTGATATGAGTCAGTCAACTATAAACAACCTAAGCTGATATTTTTTTGACTTGGGTCAACAAAATTTATATTCTCTGAGTATTAATTATATATATAAGTAGTTTTAATATCTTTATATAAATCTTATGAATTAGGGAATATGATAACATATTCAGTTAGTTTAAGAAAATAACTATCAACACCATTATTGTTAAATTGCGGCCTAGGCACTAGGCGACCCTAGTCTGAGGCGATTTCAGTCTTAGGCGGCTTTTAGTCAGCCGATCGACTAACCAATCGACTAGGCGACCTAGGCGCCGAGTTGGACGTCTAACTCGGTCGAGTTGGACGCCTAACTCGACTGAGTCGGTGCCCAACTCACCCGAGTTGGCATTCAACTCGATCAAGTGGTTTTTTTGTCTGCTGGTCTACCCCTCTTTTATATTTCTCCAACTATGTACTCAACTAACCATCTAACATATGCATTTGACTAGTTTGGGATTATAACAGTCTAACAACTCCTAGTCCTGAATGGAAAAGTGAAAGACAACATACTCGAATTATTCAGCTGCCTAGGCGCTCTAGGTGCTAGGCGCCCCGGAGCCCCCGAGTAGGACCTGACACCTTCTGCATCATTCAATACTAATTAATTATGAATTCATAAGCCAGCCCTATTGCCCTAACCCAAAAACTAATGGGAAATGATATCCGATCCATAATCATCTCCACAGGCTACACACATATATATCAGCATGAGTATATATGTATATGTATCATCCTCAACTAAGCTTACCTACTCCACAAAGTCTGGTATATAAATACCTTCTTGAGCTCTCCATCAAAACACCTCTCATTACAAGAAGCCAAATTCATATTACATCAATACATACATATATATAATGGCTACACAATACAAGCTAGCATGTGCAGCAGTTCTTCTCTGCATGGTGGCGATTGCGCCCTACGCGGAGGCCGGCATCTCTTGCAGCACCGTGTACGGCAGCCTGATGCCCTGCCTGGGCTACATCATGGGGAGCGGCAAGCAGGTGCCGGCGGCCTGCTGCAGCGGCATCAATTCACTCTACAACGCCGCCGCCGCCACCGCCGACCGCCAGGCCGTCTGCTCCTGCATAAAATCGGCCGCCAAGGGTGTCAGTCTGGACGTCAACAGGGCGGCCGGCGTCCTCAGCAAGTGCGGCATTAGCGTGCCGTATAAGATCAGCGCCGACATGGACTGCTCCAAGGTGGAATAAGCCGCCATTGATGGTGCAGGGAGTACTTGCGTGGGCGTGTGTGTATGGGATCAATCAAAAAATAATAAATAATATGATGAGCTCCTCCCTATCGTTTGGGAGAATGGGAGCTCTATGCCTCTATGTTAAATGTTAATCCCTTGTTTATATATTAAAGTTCTATATATGAAAAGGTATTGAAGAAGCTTGCTCTTATATAATATTATTTTTAATATTAATTATCTACTTTAAAATTATTGGATGGCACCTTTAATTTTTAACTTTAAAAAAAAATTATAGAAGGATTATTTAATTTGCAGATAAATTAAAATTATAATACAGATCCAATTCTTATATTGTCATAGAGAGTCAAATTAAACTCAAACCTTTTATTTTTTTAAAGAAATATTAATCAAATCAATCTACTAGGATAGAATTACTTGTTTATTTTTTTTATTATTATTTTTAAAAGTTTTGATTATGATGAAAACCTACTATCACTATTTGAAAGTGTGTAACATTGAAATTATGCTCTTGTCTAATAATTTACAAGCCACACAAGAAAAGTAAACATCACTAGAAAAATCATATATGATGAACCCAATTGAGTATTGTTGCCATGAATCATGTTAGTACGATTCATATTATTATTATTATTATTATTATTATTATTATTATTGTTGTTGTTGTTGTTGTTGTTGTTGTTGTTGTTGTTGTTGTTGTTATGTCTATAGTATATTAGTTTGTGGTAGGAGATTAAGTCTAACTCTACTAGCATAATAGTTAGGAGTCTTTAGTGGTAGACTACTGATATACTATTCTGTAATCCTATCTGTTACGATTGATTAATCTAATCGCATTCATCTGGTATCAGCCTAACTAACAGTCCTCTCTCTCTCTCTCTAAATCTTCCGCAACCCACCATATCTTCCAACTCCTCGGAAAGAACCCCTTCCGCCGCCGGTGGCTCTTCCCCGGCCGGCATCAACCCCCTCGCCGGAGCTCACCATTTTATTTCAATGAAGCTTACGCAACGCAATTTTCTCTTCTGGCGTACCCAGCTGCTCCATTTCTTGCGTAGCCATGATCTTGTCGGATTCATTGACGGGAGCCACCCCTGTCCGGCGGCCATGATTGCTTCCTCCGTCGGCGAATCTAGTTCGGGAACCACCACAGTCGAGCCTACCCCGAATCCACACAAGGCATGGGTGCAACAGGATCAGTCGATCCTCTCCCTCCTAATCTCCTCAATGTCGGATGAGGTGTTCCATTTGGCGGTTGGCCGGAATACGGCGGCAGAGGTGTGGAAGTCCATCTCCACGGCACTCGGCTCCAATACTCAGGCGAGATGCCTGAATTTGCTTGGTCAATTCCAAGCGCTCCGGCAGGGCAACGCATCTCCGGCGGACTACCACGGGCGTGCGGAGATTCTAGTCGAAGCTCTTGCACAAGCCGGCTCACCACTCTCACTGGCCGAGCAGAACTTATACGTTCTGCGCGGTCTACGCTCGGAGTACAGGTCATATGTTGCATCGCTCACGGCCAACGCACCAGTTGGTCTGCCCACGCTCTCGGATTATCTGCAGGCGGCAGATTTTATCCTCGGCGAGGACTTTGCTCCTCCGGCAGATGCAGGCAGTGGCAGCAACCACACTGCCATGTACGCAGGTCGTGGGCGCGACAACGGGAATTCGCATGCAGATGGTGGCCGTCGTGGTCGTAATGGTGGCCGGAACAACAACCGTGGCGGACGCAATGGTGGCCAGGGATCTCCGAGATGTCAGATTTGTAGATCCCATGGCCACTAGGCGATTTATTGCTACAAGCGTTACAACACGCAGCCGCCCGCCCAGGCCAACGTAGGCGTCTCCGGTGACACTACGGCAGCCGCACCACCTCCGGATGCGTGGTACCCGACATTGAGGCCTAGGCACATGCGACTCCTGACGCGAGCATGCTGACAAACTCTGACGAATATGGTGGCCCCGACACCCTGCGCGTTGGAAATGGTACAGGTTTGGTTATCTCGCGGGTTGGCCATGTATCCATTCAATCCGTGTCAAAACCCTTGCATATGTCTAATGTCTTATATGTTCCGAAATTAACCGTACCATTATTGTCTGTTCAGAAATTTGCTAAGGAAAATCGAGTATTTTTTGAGTTTCATGACAATTGCTTTTTTGTGAAGGATTCCAAAACCAGGGTAGTTCTGCTTAAGGGTCCCACCTCGGGAGGTGTGTATGCACTTTCTGTTTCCCGGAGTCCGTTTGCTTTTGTCTCATCTTGAGCTACACCGGTCGTGTGGCACTGCAGGCTTGGTCATCCTCACAATGTGGTGCAAAATAAAATCCTGTCACATGTTTCGGTCACTCCAAATAGTCACGCAGTCGGGTCGTGTTCAGCTTGTCGCCTCGGCAAATCATCGCGTTTCAAGTTAGATAGAGTAAATAATAGTAGTGAAAATGTACTAGATCTATTATATACAGATATCTGGGGGCCTGCCCTGATAATCTCGTATAGTGGTTTTCGGTACTTTCTATTATTTGTTGATGATTTCTCCTGTTATTGCTGGTTTTATCCATTAAGGGTAAAATCTGACATTTATAAAACGTTTGATTCCTTTCGTGTCTTGGTAGAGCGGCAGTTTTCGCGCTCTATCAAATCTATACAGTCGGACCTAGGGGGTGAATACAGAAAATTGCATACCACGTTTCAAAACTTGGGAATTAATCACCGGCAGTCATGTGCCTACACGCTTGAACAAAACGGGAGAGTTGATGGCCGCAACAGACATATTGTTGAAATGGGCTTGGCTCTCCTCGCTCAAGGGTCCGTCCCACAACAATATTGAGACTACGC